ACTCATCCCTTGAAGAATCGCCCACCCTTACTCGTAAAGCTAGTAAAAAGGATAGGAAGAAAGCGAAGGCAGCGGCGGCAGCAGCAGCTGCTGCTGCAGTACTTGCAGAGTCGGCCCGAGAAACAAAAGACACAGAGGAAGCAACAGCTAAAGACACCAATACACCCAGCCACGACAACACGGCGACACCTGCTCTTGTGCACCCCAAGGACGACCCATTCACCAACGACCTTCCTTCCGCTACACAAGAGCTCTCTAAGGGTGGCAAGAGCCGTGAAGAGACCGCTTCTCCCGTAACAGAGCGCATGGAGCAGACTTCAGCAGCAGAGCCAACAGTGCCGGAAGTACAACAATCCTCCAATAAAGGCAAGACAGTTGCTCACGATTTGGATACAAGTCAAGATCATATCAGTTCCGGTAGCATTACGACAACACCAGATGCTATGCAAGGTGTTGAGCCTACGCTTGCAGAACTGCCCAAAACGATCTCTGAGCAAGCGCAAACTGGCGTGGCCCACACTGATTTACACGAGCCAGTCCCAAAGGAATCTATCAGCTCTACTCCAATTGAGGATGCAACTGTCACGCCATCCCTTAGTCGCAAGCAAAGCAAAAAAGACAAGAAGGAGAAACGCAAATCGAAGCAATCCGACGCGACTGGCGACGCACTAATTGGAGTTGAAGACGATATTGCCGCTAATGACCAACAATTGCCAGGCCCTGAGGGATCTATCTCACCAAGTCACACTACGGCCATGGATGTAATTGCGCCAATCATTCCACATGACAGTGGCACTCGTTTCGAAGATGCTCCGAGCAGAGAGGCCACCCCCGATCTAGGTTCATCGCGGTCCGGGACGCCAAAAATCAAGAAGCACAAATTTGCTTCTCTCTTTGAATCAGCTGCGACTGAAGAACGTCCCTCACCACCGATCCGAAGTGTGACTCCCAAACTTCAGCGAAGAGAACTCGAGCCTGAAGCGAAACCAGTAGAAGCCCCTATCAGTCGCACTGCAACACCCAAACCACTCTCTAAGGACATCTGGCCAGAGGCTCCACAGCCAACAACATCAAATCCCCGTTCTTTGACACCAAAGCCACGTTTAGAGAGATCTGTGCCAGAATCCCCAGAGGTTGAACGGGCTCCAATAGCCAAATCTCTAACTACTGAAGCGAAAACAGAGATTCCAAGCCAACCTACCCAAGAGCAAGCTGTTGAAATACCAGAAGCAAAGTCGCCGCAAACAAATATTGACTTCGCTGCCGCAGTAGCCGCAGGTTTACAAGAGTCAGGCTTCGACTCAAACATTGTTCTTAACGATCCTGCCTTCCACGGGCCCTCCTCACCTCAGGTAGAGCGCGATGTCTCTCCCGACGAAGACGTAATGGCTGCTCGTAACGAAGCAAACAAGTCTAAATTCGGCACTCTCGGACGAGTCTCACCACCCCCACTTTCGCAAGAACCCCTGCAAACTGCAGTATCAAGCGATCCCCCAGTCAAGGCTGATGTTCCCACTGGCTTTGATCCAATGGATATTCTGAATGATCCAGTTTTCAATAGACGACGAAGTCCACCTGATGTACTCGAAGAAGTGGACCCTGAAGAACTCTGGTCATCATCGAACAAAGGTATGAAGGTGAAAGGAAAGAAGAAGAAAGATTCGCCTTCCGACACGCCCCTGATCGCTAGTCCTGCTGTTGCCCTACCCGAAGAGTCACATGTTGCAGAAGCACTCGGCAATCAAGAGATCATGAGGGATTCAAATCGCGAAATGCCGCCAGCTGTTGAAACAAGCAAAGAAAACACATCAACGGTCGACAAGCAAATGGCGGACAAGGATCTAATCCCCAAGGCTCTAGGTAATGAGGTGACTGCGATCGTAGAAGCCCCTGTTACACCGCTTGAAGATGTATCCGGCCAGCCTGTTCCGAGCAAAGGAACGCTCCAACCACTTTCCGCGAACGATGACTCTGAAGCTTCGCCAGCACCAGTCAAGACGGGGAAGAAGGCCAAGAAGGAAAAGAAGGAAAAGAAGCGAGCTTCCAGTACCCAACAAACGGCTATGCCTGAGGCTGTAGAGGCTCCGGTAATTGAGGCTCCCACGGTTGTGCCTCTTGCCGTTGAGACTCCAGCCGAAAAGCCGGCTAGGAGTATGGATACCGTGGAGCAACAGAAGCCATCGCTACCTTCGCTTTCTGACCGTCAAGATCGAGACGATCGTGCCTTACCTCGTTCGGAAGTGCTTCAAGAGGATCGTGGCACTGCTCCACAGTTAGCGCAAATCACAACCGCTGATGAGGAACGGGCACCTTCAACATCTAAAAACGACAAGAAGAAAGCTAAGAAGAAGCTTGTAGAGACGGAAGTTCCCGAGCATTCACAGGGAAAGAAAGTGGGCACAGAGTTGGGCGAAGACAAAGATTTCATATCAACTACTACTCCAGAGGTTTCCAAAGTTGCCGCCGAGGATGCACTGAAAATAGATACACCAAAGAAGGAAAAGACAGTCAAGCCAAAGTCAAAGCGCTCTAGCACTGTAGAGCCTAGCTTAGAGATCGAGGCTTCATCTGAAGCAGTCAGCCCACGAGAAGACAATCTAGCTGTTCAAGACGCGCTAACGAAGGAAAGCGAAGCGGCATCAAGACAAGAGATGGACAAGACAGACAAGAAAGGAGCATCCATGGGTCTTTTAGCAGCCGGCGCGGCTGCACTCGGGCTTATCTCGACACGAAAAGACAAAACTTCCAGTCCTCCCGAACGGGAATTGGATGTCAACAAAACGCCATCATTGCCTCCGACGTTCGAACAAGAGTCAAAGCCAGCTCACATGGTCGAGTCCGCAGAATACCCATTCCCCCAGGTGGCTACGCCAACTAAAACACCGGCATTGACAACTGAAAGGTCACGGGAGGTAGACATTCAGGCGGATGATTTGGTTGTACCAGACAAGAAAAAGAAGAAGAGCAAAAAGAGCAAAGGGAAGGAATTGGAAACGCAAACTACTGCGCGGGAATTAGAACGAATGGACAGCAGAGGCCTTGCAGGTGACACCACGGAAAAGACACCGGTCAAGCAGTCGGCCAGCGAGGCTTCAAGACCAATTCATGAGGGTGTTGCTGTGTTACAAGGAGGTGATATACACGTGTCGCCAGCAATGATACCTGGACCGGGGGACAGTGTGGAGCAGTCTACGTCTACCAAACCAGAGCTCAGTGACGTAGGAGACAAGACAATATCTCCTTCATCAAAGCGAAGTGGCGTTGTTCCGGCCATTGAACATGTCAAGCGAAGAGAACATCCAACTTGGTCTCCAGAGGTCAAGCCACTGGACAAGCGTGTGCATCTCGCCGATCTTGATTTAGAACAATCAACGCTCAGCTACGATCCAGTAGCTGCTCCGCGCGAGTTAGGATTGGACAAGCATCAGCCAAAGGGCCTGTTGGCACCAGGAACTACCGAGCCGACCTGGTCATTTAGCGATGGTCACGACAGCGCCGTACACGTGGCTGATTCTCCGCCCCTCTTGCGCATCCCACATGCCGAAACAACCAATATCCGTGATAGCGGATATCATGATGCAGACCACAGTCCCACAACGCAGCGACGACCATCCGAATCGGCAGAAGAGCTAAAGATACAGAAGAAACGAAGATCAAAGGAAGCGAAGCCAGTCCATGACGTCCCTGAACAAGCAATCGAGGGTGGTGTCGGGCAACAGCAATCACGAAGTTCATCACTTCATGAGAATCCAAATCTCACGAGACTTCCTTCACCACCTACGATAGAGACTGCTCCCAAGGACCGATCCTCTCGATCATCGCAAAGTCACACAAAGACGCCAGCAGTATCTTCGTCCACGGCGTCTGCTATCGCTGTCGCGTCAGCAGCAGCACCGCTGGTTGCAAAGGCAGTAGCGCGATCTACTTCAACAGACGACAATCACACCCCCTCTCGGACGCGAAGGGTCACTGAGGAGGAGCATCAAAGCCTTCCTTCAACACCAGCTGTGCAAACTCGGGAACATGTCTCGCCCACTAGACAATCTAAACAGCATGAACAGAGCAAGCCATACAAGTCAATCTTCGGCGACGGAACCGAAACCACATCTGAGAAGCCTGTTGCGCTGAAGACTCCAGCATCCAAACCCGGCAGGCCCTCGATTGGTCTCACAAGCATCAAAGAGGCTAGCCCTGACGAGTCACCACTACACAAAAAGGGACGGGCTATTTCAGACGTGGGGCAACCAGATCGCGGCGTTAAAACTGCACGACGAAGTGCATCCCCAAAGCCTTTCTTAGATCGCCTGAAGTCCCCTCCCCCTTCAACTCCAACGCCATCGAGCCGCAAGCCTTTGCCCAGTGCCATTGATACTTCTACACCAGCAAGTGCACGAACTACACCATGGCATCAGGTCCACGATACTCCAGATCGGACCATGGCGCTGAGTCCTGCTCGCCGGCTCCCACACGACCAGCGGTCCCCATCGCCTACAATAACAACGGACCCGATTAAACAGCGTATTGGGGAACAACGCTCTCCGAGCGCGATGAGCGACCGTTCTGTGGGAAGCATAACGAGGCACAAGACACCCGACCATCTGCGACCCCTGAGTTCTCTGAGCAATAGATCTGGTACTCCACCTCTGCGACGTATGGACCGCAGCGCGTCAGGTGACCTGCGTGCAGCCGCAACCAAAGGGTCGAAGCTTGGCGAGGCCCGAGCGCGGGGCGCTAAAACTCCGGAACCCAATCTTTCGAACCTTGCGCTCGCAGCTGGCGCGACCGCCATCGCTGCGAGCATCGCAAGCTCATCTACGTACGACCCTGTAAGGGAAAAGGGCAAGGGCCGCGCCGAAATGCCCGACGTCTATGTAAGTTCTCTCGTTGTCGCTGCCAGCCATCGTGCTATGATCTAACAAACTCTGCAGGAGGCATGGGGCGAGGCACAGGGTTCGCCCATGTCGCCAACGCGTCCACCCAGTGTGCGCAAGCGACAAAGTATGCAGATTATAGATCTGCAGTCCCAATTGGAATCTCTCGAGGAGCAGAATCGCGCACTGGAAGAGGCAAAGCTCCAAGCTGAAGCCAGCATCCAGCAGGCACAGCTGCAACGCCAAGTCGAGGAGCAAGTCATCTCCGAGGCTGTCTCAGCACGTGATCGAGAGATTCAACAGAAAGATATGGAAATTGGACAGCTGCGTGACTCGCTTCAAACCGTGCAACAAGAGCTTGCCCGCCTCTCTGAATTCAACAAATCTCTTAACGAAGCCAACCAGAATTTGACGAGCGACACAAATGAGCGATATGCACAGCTTCAAGCTGAAGGCCAGCAAGTACACGACAAATGGCAACAATCTACGCGGGAGCTCGAAGAGCTGCGTACCCAGCACACTCAACTCACAAGTGGCATGGAATCAGCGTTACGACATGAAATCTCACTGGCTCTCGATGATCGCAATGCAGAAATCGAACGTCTCAACAAAGAGTTGGCGAGTGCAAAAGAACAAATCCAAACGTTGCAGAAACAATTACTGGCGACAAAGAAGAAAGACGAAAGCTTCCTCACCGTGAGAGATGAGGACTACTTCGACAGTGCCTGCCAACAACTCTGCCAACATGTGCAGCAGTGGGTGCTGCGATTCTCTAAATTTTCCGACACACGAGGATGCCGATTGTCAACCGACATTGCGGCGGATCAACGACTAGACTCTGCCACACGACAGAAGATCGATACCCGTCTGGACAATGCTATTCTTGATGGCTCAGATGTTGACATACTTCTAGCGGACCGCGTGAGGCGACGAGACGTCTTCATGTCGGTCGTGATGACAATGATCTGGGAATATGTCTTCACACGATACCTGTTCGGTATGGACAGAGAACAGCGACAAAAACTTAAATCTCTCGAGAAAACATTGACAGAAGTTGGTAAGTGTGACAGCTTGACACTGGTTGGACTTCCTATACTAACTCATGATTCAGGCCCAACGCGTGCAGTAGCACAGTGGCGCGCAATTACCCTCACACTTCTATCCAAACGTCAAGCTTTCATTCAACAGCGCTCTCAGGACACCGAGGCCGTTGTTCATGAAGTCTACAGTACTCTTGCAACTCTTCTCCCCCCACCCTCGCACCTCCAGCGGCAAATCCAAGAATCCTTGCGCAACGTCATGCGCCTTGCCGTGGAACTTTCCATTGAGATGCGTACGCAGCGCGCAGAGTACATCATGCTTCCTCCACTGCAACCCGAATATGACACCAACGGCGACCTCGTTGCCAAAGTAACTTTCAACGCCCAGCTCATGAATGAGCGCTCAGGCGAAACAACTTCAAACGACGAATTGCAAGCAAGGAACGCAATAGTCAAGATTGTGCTCTTCCCACTAGTCGTCAAGAAGGGAGATGACTTCGGAGAGGGCAGCGACGAGATCGTGGTCTGTCCTGCCCAAGTGTTGATCGCCAAGGCGAAAGACCGAAAAGTTGTCAGAGTGATGAGTGGAGCAATGAGCATGACCTCAGCGCAGAGAAGCGCATTGAGCCTTGCACCACCAAGTTCGATCATGGATACCAGCGGGAGTAATGTCATTTAAAAGGAGTTGACAATCGCATAGCGCGGACTAAAAATCGGATAGTCCTTGGATATCAGGACCTATTGTTTTGTGTTTGGGTTTTTATCCTTTTTGGCGGCATATACCTCGCGCACTGGCGTTATCTCCCTCTCATTCTGCCTTTTGGAGCATTGCAAAAACAAACTAACGAATCTCCTACTTATACACCACACTATTTCTTTTGTATCATTGTTATTGCAGTTGTTTTCTCTTGCAAACCTTTCAGTCTGGATATAGTATTACTCTTCATTTACTTTCACTTTTCTTTACGCATGGGTCTTTCGGACTTTCAGGTTTTCGACTTTAGGGTAGTTAAGACCTTTTTAATATAGTTACTCAAGAATTTCATCAGAGTTCTACTTCAATTGTTCGCCTCGAAATGGATGCTAAGTGAGTTGGATGCTAAGTGAGTTGGATGCTAAGTGAGTTGCGTGTGTTGATAAGTGAGATGGGTCATATCCCCCCGTCCTCATCTTACCAACTCTGCATATTTTGCCCTAATTTTTAGATCTGAGGAATAAACCCTACACCTATGTATAGTACGAGCCCGCACCCCTTGCTCGCTTGTATATCGAGAATGACGAAGAAATGGATACGTGTTCGCGTCAGACATGTGTGCTCAAGCTGTAGACATAGAAAACTAGGTGAACGTCAGGCATGCCTGACACATGCAATCACAATTTTTCAAAGTCACAAGATGCATAAAGTATGATTGGCTTGGCTAATTGATCAAGGAACAGAAGAATCTCAAAAATGAATTGGAAGTAGTCTACGTATTGCGTGTGCGTGTGCGTTTGCTTGGTTGCTGTTGGGGGTATCTTTCTCTCTCGCTCTCCTTCTAAACGCTGGGAATAAAGGGATCTATAGTAGAAACAGAGGACTTCTTGCGACGACGACGACGACGACGGCTGGATGATGATAATTATGCTTGGTGCAATGCTTGAACGCTTGGACGGGTTTGAAAGGGTATGGATTGATGGCTGTGAACGTCCATGTTGAAAAAGATGTTCCAAGGGTTGAAAGGGTGGGGAAACGATAGGAATTGGGATTGAAGAAATGGGAAGTTCCGAATTGTGCGCCCGCTGGAAAAGAAAGATTATGAAGAAATGGTCGTTAGATGTTGAAGTCATTATAAATGTCTTCCGCCCCGCGGAATGTCTCGTTCTCATGCTGGTGATGATAATGATGATGATGATGATGATGATGATGCGTGTGCAGATGTTTATCCGATCTATGAGTGGTTGGTTGGGTGTTTTTGTCTAAGGGATGTCGTAGTCGCTAAGGATAGCTTCTGGGTCTTCTGGAGGTAGCATGTCGATGGTATCATTGGTACGTGGGCCAGTGTAGGTTCTGATAGAAGAGAATAGTTAGTGACCATTGAGAAGGCATGAAAAAATTGGAGGGCCAAGGGGAGGGAGTCACGACGTACTTTCTAGCGCCAGCGTACCACCAGATCATACTGAACAAGCCAATGAAAGCAGCCACGCAGATGGCATAGTTCATGTTCGTCGCTGTGACCGGCTTGATAGGAGGGAAGAAGAGGACCACGCTGATGAAGCAGACCCATGTGACTGCAACCGCATTGACTGGCTTGCTCCAGCGGCCCAAGGTGTACGGGCCAGGGTGGAATTGCACCTTGCCTTCGTACCATCTGTGTGCTATGATAACTGCAATGTAACTGATATCGAGTGCTGGCGCGGTAATGCTGAAAATCGCCACAATCGTCTGCGTGCTACCGATGCCGATGAGGTCAAGGCAGCAGCAGAAGGCCACAACGAGCCAGACGGCGTTGACCGGTGTGTTGGTGATGGAATTGACCTTTGTCCAGAAACTATGCACATGTCAGAATACACGAGAAGGCTAAAGTCTTGCTTGACCGATCGCAACGAACCTCGAGAATGGCAGAGCAGCATCACGCGAAAACGCCCATGCCATTCTGGCATTTGCCAGCATGGCCGAGCAACCGGTGAAAAACTGCACCAATATGACGAAGAACCACATGATGGTCCCTCCCGTCCTTCCTCCAGCGTTGAAGAAGATCTGGGCTGCCGGCAGCCCCGTAGGGCTAGACATGATCGCCTCGTAGTCTGACATGCAGAAGCAGAAAGTGACGGTCAACATCCAGCCCACTATTCCAGAAACGAGAATGGCTGCACGAATGGCGACGGGTCCTCGAATGGCAGCATCGTGGGTCTCCTCTGACATGCTGTGTAACGGTGTGGTTAGATTGGCTAGTACGCGAAATCGCGGGGTTGTTTATCTTACTGCGTGGTACCATCGTAATCCGTCATCGTCCATGCAACGGATAAGAACCTGCTTATGTTAGCTGCACAGCTTATGATGTTGAAATTGAGGCTGCATACCCAAGCAGGAAAGAAAATCCCTTGCTTCCCCAACCCGAGCCGTCTACCACTTCTGAGAATACCCATTTGGCACTCTGCTTCTCTGGCGTTAATATAAGTAGGGCTATGCAGATGCATATCGATGCAATGACTACATGAGTGTAAGCACTTGATCAAAGACGTACCGGGGTGTGTTCCACTTACTGTTGATAGGAGCGAACCAGAAGATAATCTTGTGTAGCCACTCCGTAGGGAACGAACAAATCGCACCAAATAGACATAGTACAAGGATCGCGAGAAGGACAGTCTGGACCGATGTTCTGCCAATATAATGAGCGCCTTGCGTGTGCCTCAAGGGTAGGCCTGATATCTTACGGCGTAAATGTAGGATTTCCATCTGCAAGAGATGAATGCATGACTGCTGTTGCGAGAATCATCTGAGAGATGGTATATGCAAGGCTGGCAACGCCTCCTGCCTGGCCGAGGAAATTACACCACCCGATGATCCATGCCCACGGGGCAACGTGATCTTTGGGCACTACGTGTTTCGTCACATAGTACATACCACCAGCTGTCGGATACGCCGAAACGAGTTCCGCGACTGAGAGATTGTAAGCATTGATATCCTGTAGACTCTTGGGCTTGACTCACCGGAACTTGCTATGCAATATGCCATGATACTGCCAAAGAACCATGCCCATACAGCGGTAGCAGGTCCACCAGAACTCATAGGGCTACCGAAGGTTGCTGGAACAGATCCGAGGACACCGAGAATAGAGATAGCATAGGAGACCGTAGACCATCGTGAGAAATGCCGTTGGAGAACCTGCCAGTGTCAATGTTCTTGTTCACACCATCGCCTGCTAAATCGTGCATTCTTACGGGGGTATACCCGATGCGCTCGAGGAGACGATCGTCGTCATTTTCGATTGTTGCCATTGTATCTGCGTGGCCTGGAACGTTTCTACCATCTATCCCCTTTGCAGATGTATTTGTTGGAAATGGGTGCAAGGAATTAACGTTTGCAGATCCAGGGGAGGTGGAGGCTTTCTTCGAGTCAGAATGTATAGCCATGACGAATGTTTAGTCTAGAATCATTGGGTACAGCGTTGGAGAGAAGGATAGTGAGGAGAATAGAGAACGAAAGAATGGCAATCTCTAGGTCACGAAGAGGAGGGAGATGATCAGGGATGAGTGATAGGCCGTGTGTCTACCACCAAAATGATTGATTGCTTGTGGAGGAAGAGTGAGGGCAGAGCAACGATCAAGAGGGGGAAACATGGTGGGTATATAGTTTTATCTCGATGTTTGGCTGATTGGGATACTGCCAGTCAAGCAGCCAGCACAAGCCTTCGGGCGCCAGTAGTAGTATGTAATGAGCACACAACTTACCTCTTCCCCATCAGACAGGACGCCGGCCAGGATATGGGGCACCTAGGGCATGACTCCACGTGCCAGAAGGTCGTACTGGCAGATTCGAACGGCGAAGGGGCAATGTGGGGGGGAGAAAGCAAGGTTAAGGCTTTGAGAGAGCAGCAGAGGTGGCAGAATGTGTGGTGTTAGGGCGCCGGATATGCGGCCGGAAGAGGACAAGACGGTAGTTGGTACTTCATTTACAAGCCAGCACTACTGGTAATAATACCTTCCTTGTAGGTAACTACTGTAGGACTGCTCCAATGTCACTTGTTAAATTCCTCTTGGGTGCGGGCAGACGAAGAGACAAAGTGACAGGGGAGGCTAGGAGATCGGCTGAAGCACGTTGTTGTCAAGTTTAACATTGTAATGGTGATCCACTCTGCCGGGCCCTCACTCCCGGCCCTCTCCATCCCTCCCCGTCCATCCTCCATCCTCCATCCTGCATCCTCCATCATCCTACCCATTATTATCATCATTTCTACCTATATACGAGCCAACCATAACCATTCCAACCTTTTACAGGGGTCGCGTTGGATTACAATACTCGTATTTGCCTACGATCCCCTACTAATACACGGTAACTATCGTTCGAGTAACTTACTAACTACCCAAATAGCATTACTCCTTTTTTTTCTTCTACTCCAAAGCTAATGCCCGATGCAACTGTCAATTACATTCTTTGATATCTAGCAAGCCGGCCCGACAATGTCTTTAAAAGTCCAATATTTGTGCTGTTCTCCGTACAGCACGCTGAGTTTTAAAACCTCGCGCACCTCCGAATCTGATCGACATTCTTTGATGGATGAGGATCCGCACTGTCGGCTCTGTTGCGGTGCTCGAGCTCAATAGCAATGACGCACGTCGACCTGAACCGCGTCAATGGCGTGGCTCAAAGGTACTGTAATGGCTACGGAGGAGAGCCAAGCGCGATTCAGATGTGTCGTGCTGCGACGGTAGACCTGCTCTGTTCAAAAGGTCAAAGCCATCCCTAGCCTTCTGGATCCCTTCTATTACGAGTGGGCGGTGAGTCCACAGCACAGACAAACACACAGACGCCTTGTACGGTTTAATCATTACGGTGGTTGGCATGCTCGATTAGCTTTCTCCAGAGGCGATGCGCCGAGGCAGGCCGTGCCTTAAGAAGCCTCTGTTATGAGTGGACGCCCAAAGCATCCAAGTACAGTCAGTAATTCCATGTGCTGTGTTTTCATTGTACGTCCCGGCCGCCTACAATGTAGCAAGCACTCATCATGTTTACGATATCTCATCAGCTTATCGCTCAATCCCACGGACAGCGTGGTGCTCTTCCAAACAAAAAGGGAAGCGAGCCAAAACAAAAGGTGTGCTGCACTCATTGTGTGGTCCATCGAATGGTCGCCGCACATGCAAGTCCCATGCCTGTGCCAGGTTGCAACCGGCGCACCGCCTGTCTCCATCAGGATTGGGATAAATCTCCTGCACGTTTGACCAGTCACAAGGCTGACTGAGCAGCCGTCTCGTCAAGAGCAAGAGAAACGTCCCGAGATTCTGGGAGAGAAAAAGCAACCTCAGAAAATGACCTCTTGCTGGCTATATCACAACAAGCCTCAGCGGCGGATTGCCCTAACGAGCGGATGAGTTGTACATTTCCAAACCAGTCCCTCTCGGCGCGGAGGCTCCTCCCGTCGCATGCAAGGAGGTATGGAAGTATGCAAGAAGCCAGATGACTTTTCTCGTTTCCCCTCTCTCCTGTCTACTCGATGGGTCGGCTTATCGTCATAACAAGATGTAGGCAAGCCCTACACATTACAAACGCTCGATCGATTGCCAATTTCCACGTAGAAGAACCGAAAGAGCGGTAAACCTCGAGCTTGAGCATGTTCATTCATAGGCAGCGGCATTGCTGACCGCAGCCCGTTAAATCGCAGGAGAGGAGTTCCACCATTCTTCCTCGATGCCCCGTTTGGTAAAAGTGGAAAATCAACATCCAACTTCAAGCCCCAGCCGATGGGACCCACAGACGTTCTCGCTTCGAAGAAATCGAAACAGACAATTCCCGGTCGCTGTCGAACGTTTCTTCCGTCATAGCTTTCTCCCGCGCGCCCCTTGAAACCACTAGTCACATCTGCGCTGTTAGAACGCCTGAAAAAGAAAAATCCCGCCCAAAGGGAAAAGTGGGATAACAATAATAATAAATCACAATAGAATTGATGCATTTGATTGCTAAAGGAGACACCGCAGTAGTTCCGAAAATGCACGCTCACGAGTCGCTGGTGCTTTTGTTCTATCACGCCCATATCGAAACTATCCCCTTTCTTAAGGCGATCCTTCAAGGATCATGATGGAGGGCGTCCGGTTGATCTACGTTGGCTACCATACTTTTGCCCTTCCCTTCCCACTTTACCCTTTCGCCTGTCCCGTTCCCATTCGCTTCTTTACCAATCCGCACACTAAACAACAGCCCCGAATCAAGTAGGTCAGCGGCAGAGGCTGCAGGCATGTGGCTTTGACGTCCTTTTCTGTCGAATGGGCGGTCAACTTCTTCTTTCTATCCTGCCCTACCCCTTCCCTTCCACCGGCTCCGAATTTCCTTTCTCTGCCTGGTGGTTGTCCTTTGTTGATATGGTGCGGTCGGTTTCTCAGGCCTCACCGTTCAATCACAAACAATTGCTCCGTTTCCCGCTCCCGCTATCATCGTCCCATCCATGCATGCATGAATGGGCAGTTTCAAGACTCATTCAGTCTTGGGACCAAGCGACGAGCACACACTGAAAGAGGAATTCGGCGTAGCAATCCATCAATCAAAACCTCGCCAGCTAGCAACAAAAGAAAGAAAAGACCTGCGCCCCTCATAACTTAATCCCAAGACACACAAATGCATATATTGAGTAAATGCGCGGAGAAACGCCCGCCATAAAACCTACCCAATTCCGCACCCATGCTATGAGACCTTGTTTCCACATCGAGATTCTATGTGGCACCAGTTCGGCGATCAAAGACTCCATGGGTACATTGTGTCAATACAATACGAATCTCTCCGTGCTCAACTAATCCGATTCGCTTCCGCGTATGTGTGCATATAGATTGTATCCGTCAACCGAGAATTCCCGTACGTACGTACACAGTGACTTGCTTACGCGGCGGGAAGTTCCAGCAGATGCCAAATTCATCTTTCATACATCTGATTGCTTTGTTCAGTATTGGGCATGTTATCTCTTCCTTGTCATTCTTTCCAAAACCGATCGTCCAGCTTCCTACCTTAGACTTACGTGGTCTGGAAGACACAAATGCTTTCGCGTGGGCACATCCTAAAGAAACGGCCCTTTCAAATCAATTACCTTTGTCTCTGTGTCTAATTGCGGTTCTGTAATTTGCACATGCTGTTTCTCTAATGAACACATACATACTCTGTACTGACAGCTACACCTACATCTATATCCATGCGTGCATACATACACCGATACTTACATCTATACACATATTGAACTCACATATAACCTACATACAACATACATCTACACACCTCTATCCCTACAAGCTACACCTCCCACATCTACCACACTTACCACCTATATCCACACACAACCAACCCCAAAAAACCAGCCTCCCATCCTCAAAGCCTTGCCATAATCCTACACACATACTCTAATCCATTTTTCAGTACTCGTAACAAAATAATTCGGTGAGCAGGCTGCATAAAGACATATATACATACCCGTAGGCACAAAAGATTTCGTTTCAAAATCCGCCGCGAGAAATCCAATGACGGGGAAACGACTGTGGTGATGGAGAATGACGGGTTCGTGGAAAACGACCGACTGGACTGGCTGTTTTGTTACATTTTGCATGGGGTGAGCCTATGTGTGCCAAACGTTGGTTGGGGCTTGGTATCTTGTCGGTGTTGTCTGCTCGTACTTCGAGTTCACAGACGACAGTAAGGTTTCGTCGGCTTTAAGAATATAGAACGTGCATCAAGCAGCACGAGAGACATCACAGCAACACTTAACAAAGAGACATCATGGGGACATTCACGACAGAGTCGGTTACTATGTTTCTGTATCTAATATTATGGGAAATAGGATCAGGGTTTACGTTCTGGGGGAATCAAAAAGTGAAAGGGAAGAGGGAGAAGAAAAAACAAAAAAGAAAGGAATCATATCTGTACACCGGCGGCATTGATTCACGATCCACTTGATCGAATTGGAAGTGGAGGCTCCCAAGTTCAATCGACTTGTCGGAGAACCTTTGATGGACGTGTCCCTGCCTGCCTCCCCGCCCGCTCCAACCATAATAACCTGCCATTCCAAACAAATCGCCCAAAATTGCAGCGTGGGGGAAGAAGGAGAAAGAAGAGAGCGGGTCAAGTTACGCCCTAAGGAAATCGACCCGACTGTTTCAGTAAGGACTGTTGACAATGTCGTTCCTTCCAAGATAGCTTCCACGGACAGTGCTTCGACGACCTGCGCCCACTCTTGATGGGGTGGCGATGCTTTCGCGGGTAGGCCTCTGGAGAGCTCGCTTGGCGACCATTTCGACCTCGTTGGGTAGTGCGACGATGAGGTTCTTGTCCGATCCGAATTTGAAGTTGTCGGATTTGACTTCTTCGGCGTAGCGCTTGATGCTGTAGGGATCCTTTCGGTTGGCCAAGAGCTTCTTCATGCTCCAAGTAACGATGAACGGACCCGTCGCGGTGATGATCGTCGTCTCCGTGTCATCTATACCGGTGTTGAACTTGGCTGGAGTGAACGATATCGGAGCTTTGGTCTCGTGCTGGAATTGCGCAACGTGGCTAGGCGTCAGGGCAAGGCGACGAGGTACTGGCTTGTCGTCCTTTGCGAATGCTTTCTCGAATCCTAGCCTGCCATCGTTCTTTCCACCCTTCTGCAAAGCATCGATGAGGAGGAGGTATGTACGTGTCGTAGCCAACACCCATCTGCCATCCGCCGAAACATCCATTCCAATGATAGGATCACCCAAGGCTGGGATGAGTGTCTTTGCGTTGATTCCCAAGCGGTCAAAGAGACGAATATCTCCCTTTTCTGAGGAGACGGCAATGTGACCTTTTTGGGTTGTAGCTGCAGCAGAGAAAGCGTTCTTGGTGACATATTGCTTGAGCTGATCGTCGACTAATTTGTTGCCAGATACACGAGGATCGATACGGTAGAGAGCGTTGCCAGAAAGACCCAAGAAGGTTTGCTCGCCCGTCATTTGGGCATATTTCTATGTTCAAGTCAGCGTTATGTCTCCCTACTCTAGAGGAAAGAGTAGTACTTACGTTCTCTGGAGCAAAAATCTTCACTGGAATATCATCGTGGACCTTCCACTCATCCACCACCTTACCAGTCTCAAGGTCCATGCGGTATAAATTGTTAGGATCATCCGCATGCTGCATGATGAGATTTTGATCCTCGGCGTGCAACATAACCTTGTTGGGGTTGAAAGCCTTGCCTTTTGGTGTCTTGACGTTGGAAATGGTGGTCGAGAATTGCAGCTGGTTGTCTGCGGTATGTTTGAACACTCCAATCTTATTTCCACGAACGACAAATGACCTGTCGTGCTTGTAACCGACAGCAAGCTGTGAGTTGACACCACCATCCTTCTCTTGACCTTCAGTGTCGTCATCGGACTCATCTTCGTCGTAATGCTCGCTGCGGTTATCCTCTGACTCTTCTTCTTCAGATTCTTCCTCCTCCTCCTCCTCCTCTTCCTCTTCCTCATAGTCGGGCGCATCTTCCATGGTCAGATCCTGGAAAGCTTCAAGTACATATTCACGATCGGTGTCCTTTGCCTTTCCCCATTTCACCTGGTTGAGATGTTCCCAAAGTGCCTGCATGACTCCATTCTGGAATCCCTCGAGCTCTTCCTGTTCCTTGAAACGAAGGAGCCATGAATAGGCCGAACCATCGTCCAGATAGTGATTGAAGATGAAGGACTTGAATTCATAGTTGAAAACAGGATTGATGTCCTCAACGATAGGCTGACCCAGCCATTCTCGGTCTTCGCCTACGATGTGCAGCCAGTACTCCCAGTTGCCGATCTCCGTGACCGTAGCCTTAACGTTGGCGTCTTGTAGGATAAAGGTACCAGACGGGAAGTCGAAGAGATGGAGCTCAGCACTCGTTTCAGCCAGCGTACCCAAAGCCTGGGGCTGGGCAGCCGAAGGAGGGGCCGTAGTGGGATCTTCAGCCTGGGGAACTGGTCCCTTGCCAGCAGCCTTCTTTGCCATATTTTCCTTGGCTGTGTTGGGAAATAATTGTTCGGCGACAGGAGCAGCTTCGGGCTGTTTGCTTATCGGGCTGTCGATAGGACTTGCGTCTGGGATAGGTTCTTCGAAGTAGGCCAAAGCCTCCAAGTCTTCCTCGGTTGCGTGTTCGTGGCTCCTGCGGAACTTCCTCTCGTATTGACACTGCAGAGCGACTCTCGAGAACAAGATAGCAGTCTCTGGCTTGATCGAAGCGTCACAGACAAATTCCCAAAGATCGCCTACGTCACCGCTGAGGTCGCGCCACGCGAAGATCTTCTCGCCGGTCTGTCGGACGTCGGTGCGGAATCCAATCTCCTCGTCGAGCAGGAATGTTTTCTCGTCCTTCTCCCCACCAAGAGCGTCGATGTCGGCGTCCTCTGCACCTTCTTCCGCGAGTAGGTCCTCCTCGCCTTCCTCGTAGGCTCGCTGGACAACAAGCTGGTATTGGAACTCCTGCCCGGTGCGACGGATGGTGGCAGCGGCGTCCTTGAAGATAAGTTCAGAGTAGCCTTTGACCGATCGAGGACGGACGAGGTAGAGCTGGCCTTGCGAGATTTCGACGAGAGATTCCTTTGAGCTGTCTCCGAAGACGAATTTACTGACTAGACAAGGGTGTTAGAGATGCTTATGGCGGAGCGGGGGAGGGGCAAAACAATACAGTTGCGAAGCATAAACATGTTGCGGGAATGCGGCACAGGTTTGTACTCGGGACAAACAGCTGTCCGGGAGGGGTTTTCAGATGTTGGAGCGCAGTGCGCGCAGCGTCTCAAAAGAAAACAAGTTTGTATGGGCAAGGCAGCAGACCAGAATCTCGTTCAAGGTGCACCACACACAAACATGCCTCGTTGCATCATGCCAAGCCTCGCTTAGATCCCTGATGATGTGGCGTTTATTCTGAACCACGTGATCAGGCGACATAGCTCGGATACGATCAAAAGGTTGAGTGGGAGAGTAGATATCGCATTGTGAAAATGCTTCCAAATTTACACTATAGATTTGGCTATTCGTAAAGTTATATCTCCATTTATATCACTTTAGAGGATGTGTTGCAAAGCGTATGTTTGCTTCGCATTCATCATCGTCGACCAATGCCGTCTATCTATCGCCTGCTAATAAAACTAACACCGACTCTACGAGAGTTCTCAAAACAGATCAAGAAGATCCTGATTACTCTTTTGAGCCTTTTGCCCACTGAGTTGTTGGCTTGCAGGAGGCGGTTGGCTTGCGCCTCCGACGTTGAGACCTGCAAACCCACCGAGAATATCATCGTTGGACATTTGGGCAGCTGGCGCCCCACCGCCGCTGTTGCCTCCGTCACCAAACAATCCCATCAGATCATCCATGTTAGATTGTGCTTGAGCAGTAGTAGCCGGAGATTCAACGCGCTGTGGTGTACCGGCGAGGCCCTCCAACCCGGACTGGCCTGTGGATGGTTGTTTCTGTAACGATGCGGGAGCGGCGCCGTCGAAATCGATGTCCAACAGATTCTCCACATTCGACTGCTGGGGAGCCTGTCCGCTGGCAAGAGCGGCGGCAGCTGCGGCAATAGGGTTTTCGCGGGCGTTCTCTTCTTGTTCCCTTTATAATAGTTAGTCATGCACACAGCGATGGAATTGAGAAAGACATACTCGATAGCGGCTTTTTGCATAGCCTCCGCGCCAAATCGCCCTTGTCCAAGGAACGCCTCCGGAGGTTTGTGGTATACAGACGCGAGTGTCGAGAGTTCCGTGAGTAATTGCTCTAGCAGAGCAGGTGGCAGCGAATGAATAGTAGATGTGATCGGAGGCTTGTCGGAAAGAACGATATTCTGCAGGCCGTCAGCATGTTGTTATAGATTTCGCACAGAATGCTCACCTTTGCAACTTGAGGGTCACTTGACAGCAAGCGCCAGTAGACGTATGCTCGGTCGCGAATATCGGGGTTGTCGTTCTCCGCTGTCGCTGCTTGCAAAACCTTCTGAACCAGGCCCTGTGACTGGTCTGGTTTCTTCAAGAATAATTTCACCACTGCGGTCAGGATTTGCAGTTGTGTCTGGGCAAAGTTAGTAAGATTTCGATACGGTGTATTAATGACCTTACCTGAGTGAACTCTTCGGCAAACGCATCCACGAAACCTGAAAGGATCTCTCCCGCATTCTCAATCTTCTCTGCATACTCTCCAACGATCCAAATCAGAGAAGAACGAGCGTTGGGCTCATCGAGCTCGTCTATGCACTGGCAGAGCGTCGGTATTATACCCTCATATCCAGGGTACCTTCGGAAGATATCTTTGATGACGACTATGGCCTCCTGCACCACATAGTTGACCTTGGTGTTGATCAGATCAAGGAGTGTGTTGACACACTTCTCGCTGGCACTCTCGATCTTGATGGCGACCTGGCCGATTGCCTTGACGGCGCGCCTAACGAAATCCATGTCGACTTCCATAGCATACTCCTTCAATTCGGCGAGTAGTTGATCGACATTCTTGTCGTTGGCTATTCGGACCATGATCTCGAGTTTTTGGAGTTTAAGGTATGGTGGGTCGTTGTATTTGCAGAAGAATACTCTCATCTCCTTACTGAGGATATCGGCTTGTTTCTGGAGAAGAAGGTCGATGTTCTTTAGAGCGACGTATTGAACTTCCGGCTGAGATGATACAAGCGTAACTGGATACGTTAGCTGGAACAAATGACAGATTGTCCAGGGTAATTACCTAGAGGTGGTGCCATTTTCTTCGAGTATGATTTGGCCAGTTCCGGAGAGATACTTCTCATGTGGAGGAACACAACTTTGACGGCAGCCAAAACGACGCTAGGGTTTACGTGTTGGAATTGCGGAGAGACTCTCTCGCAAATGTGCTCTGCCTCTTTGACATCCGCAGCCTTGTAATCCGCCAACGTCGTCAAAATGGTGACACGCCCCCATTCTGTGCATTCGTTGAGCGCCATCAACATTTTCTTCAGCGTTGTCGGGTTGATCTTGAAAGCTTTCGTCTCCGGTGCCGTCTCGTTGATCTCCACTAGCGCCGTGACGCAGTTTGCGACGACCATTGGGTTTGGATCTCCAATCATTTCCTGGAGTTGCTCCAAGAAGCCGTTTTCGAGACACATCTGAGGGTTGAGATCGAAGAGTTTCGCTACGCAGAGCGCCGCGGTTTTCCGAACGTAGGGAGATTCGTCGCGTAATGTCTTCCGTAATGGTTCCTCCATGTAATCTACCATTTTATCCACTCTGATGCAGCCCATGGTCCGTATAGCGAGTGCACGAATTAGAGGATTTGGGTCCTCCGAGTCCTGTACGAATGTGTTGACCGCTAGAATGCAAAGGTCCGGGTGAGATTTGGCATAATTCCTATGTCAAAGTTAGCAAGGCTACCTTTTCTTAGTGAGCAGAGCAACGCACATAAGATACAGGTATACGAGCTTCTTCTGATCAAGATCTCCGGTTGCGATGTTCTTGAGGACGTCGGGGAAAAGAGCCGATACATCTTTTCCGAGGGTCATAGACATAATCGTCTTTTGAATGGCTTCCTTTCTATTGTAATCTCAGTATCTGCATTCCTTGTATTTCGGGCGAGCATGCTGACCGTTCGTATGCATATTGAGACCTAGATAAGTGATTAGTTTCACTGTGCCTTGTAAATCCATCTGCCAGCGGTTTCTTACACCAAGCCTGCTCTCAATTCAAAAGTCTCTCCTTTCTTCGGCACCGCAAAGGCACCCCTAATTCTGTTGACCGCCATCTCTACGTTTCAATAGTAGAGGCGACGACCGTGGCCGGGCCCCTCATGCACTCAAATAATCGTGTTCGTGGCAACAATCGCTTTCGTGAGACAGTCGGTGGCGGCGCAAGGATTCCTTGAGCTTCTAGCGTTTCTGTAGGCACTCGGATAGATCTCGAAGGACAGTAGACTGCGCAGCCTAGGGGAGCGTGCTGGTGGGGGACGGAGTGTTTGTCGACGTTGGAATTAGCGGAGCCTGGACTTGACCCTTGTCCGAGATGGCGAGCGGAGCGTCCGAGCTCAGATCAATCATCAGCTAGTTTTAGATGGAAGCTAGACATAACCTTCCGACCACGTTCATCAAAACCAACGTAGATGCGCACCAAGTCAGGAAAATGGTGAGTATTTTAGTTGTCCAAACTCGATATAGAGATACTGAGTCTTACTAGCCGTCTAATCTTCCAAATTTGAGACGTCTTTTCGTAGAAGCTCGTTCGGACGCGGAGGAGAGCTCTTATTCGAGGAATGCCGTAAGTAGTGGAAGGTTTTGATATTGAGGGTTATTGACCATTTCGAAGTTCTACAATCTTGTCCTTTTCATTACATCGGTTGCGGTGTATAGCCTTGTTGCTCAGCGTATGAGCTCTAACAAGGTCTTGAGGTAGCAAGTGGAAGAGTCACTGTGCTAAGCTGGAGGCCTTGGTTCTCATACTGCTTGCACAAGTCCAACCTTTCAAGAAAATCGGTTCAATAGCTTTGTCATGAGAAAGCCTCCGTCGAAATCACAAGCAAAGTACGAGAGTTCGACTGAAGATACGGACATGCTCACTTTGCACGATGGCGGCACACCGACCCAGTGGAACCTGAGATGATGAACCTGAGATGAATCACGTTAATGAGCGCACGAATTACGATCAAGATGTTTGCCCGCGGAAGCGAGAACCTCGAAACATCTTACTGATGAATCTGCTCGCAGAAGCAATGGGTATTATGGTAGATTATCTCCTATGGGTATGCGGGGTATGATGGATACAGAATTATTGCTAGTCAGAATCGTCACCGATATCAGAATCAGACCCACCAGATCCATCGCTATCATCTTTTCCACTGTCCGCATCATTACCGCTGCTATCGTCTTCACTCTCGTCCTGGTCATCTTCAACATCATCATCATCATCGCTGTCGATTTGACGTTGTATGACGATGGGTTTGGCCGCTTGAGCTGCTCGCCGCCGCGGCCGACCCCCGGTTCCAGAGTCTGCTGCTTGTCCCCAAGACTGCTCGCCCATCTGGATATCTTCGAGATCCTTGGCGAACTCTCGGTCTTCTTTGATCTTGGCTGCCTTCTCGTTGGAGTATTTACCTTCCATTCCAGCATCTGACAGCATGGCTTTCAGATGTTTGATCTTTTCTCGACTGGTATCGCACTTCGACAGTTCCTTAGACCATACCTTGCGAATACCACATTTTACGAGCCAGCTTTGTAGCCTCTTTATCTCTGCCTCATCGGGACCTTCCTCTTTTGCCGCTTTGGCTCGTGGTTTCGCAGCTTTGGAGTCTTTTCCTTTGGATCCCTTGGCGGCCTTTTTCTCCGGTGCCTTGCTCTTCTTCTTCTTGGGAGATTCGTCTATAAGACTCGACATTTCACTCTCGGACACATCGTCAGGTATGGCGTTTGATTCCTTGGCTACAGGGGGTTCTTCATCGCTCTCCTCTTGTTTTCCTGGTTTCGCCTTACTTTTGGGTATACCATCCTCCTCCTCTGAATCTTCTGCAACAACTTTTGTGCGCCGAATTGACTTCTTGGGTGAGGTGTCCTCTGAATCCGAGGGAGCTTCTGAAAGCGCCTCTTCAGATTCGTCGTCTGACACCACCGTCTTTTTCTTCTTCACAACCTTCTTCACAGGCGCTGCTGCCTTTCTCTTGACACCTCTCGGAGATTCGGTGGATGGCTTGGACTTTTTGGGCGCCGGCGCAGGTTTGGCTTTGGGTTTCGCGGCCTTCTTGGGGGTAGGAGCTGGTTCGGGACTTTGCTCGTCGAATTTACTCTGATTTATGTCAATTCGCAGAATTTCTGCGAAAGAGGAGAATGATGCTTACCACGGCTGCATGGATTATATCATGACTTTTCTGCTTCCACTTCTGGTCGTCCTTGAAGAATCCTGCGGACAATCCCAAATCGGCCTCGGCGCGCGTCCGGACGCGTTTGACTGTTAGTTCCTCCACTTTACCCTCATCGAAGAGGGCCTTTACGACGCCTTGAAGCGCGCGCGATATGGAGGCATCCGTAGGACGACCCGATGGTTCTGAATCTGACATGTCTGACTTGAGCTGGCGCGGCGGTACGGGGCGTGACGCGGAATGCGAAGCAAGCTCTAGCAAATACCAGAAGGTGGAAGCTCCAGACTCAATCGCGCTGGTTGGTCCGGTCGGTCAGCTCCACCCAATCAGCCTCCGTGAATTGAATCACGTGACCATCCTTCATTTTGACGTTAGTAGATTCTACAGAATATCACAAGCAAGGTAGTGGGTATAAGAGGCATAGAAATAGATTTCTCCAGTCGGGTTACAGTTGTCATACAGTACATGGACGTGCTAGTCTAGGTACCTAAGTACACAGTAGGAGTTGCACGCCTGGTGGCAGGGTTCATATATTAATACTCAGTCAGCCTCAAGAATCAAAACTCAATTCCTACTGTTACACTAGATCACATCAAATCGCGTGCATCACCTGCGATGCTTGTTGCCCCGAGCCCGTACCTGAATCCGACCCTTTACCTGTACCTGTGCTCCGTAACTCTGACCTCGATTTGAACCTTGGACCTTGAAGCGATTTCCTTGGACAAGCAACTGAGTAATTCTTACATCTTACGGATGGTGATGTTGCGGCGCTTGTTGGCCTGTGAGCCCCGCCGACGTCACTGGAAATTCGTGCCTGGCTGGCCCCAAAGTGTTAACTACGGTCTACGGTCTACGGTCTACGGTCTACGGCGAACCCTACCTAAGCACTGCTAAGGTACCGTACCATACTGTGTACACTGGCACAGGCTACGAGTACGGTAGACAATTCCGCACCCCTCTCCCTCAATCTCTCTCACTCACCAATTCTTTCTCTAAAACCTGCAGCTCTCAGATCTGTCCCTATTACGGCCCAGTCCGCTCTAACGTGGGTTCTATTATTGTTGTTTTTTACTTGCTTCTGCAGGTATTACCTGTCTCTCGCTGGTGCTGCTCTCAAACTCCGCAAGCCCACGCCATTGCCATTGTCGTATACCCCAACACTTTTCTTTCCATTAGAAAAGTTCCTGGTACTTGGGTAAAACATACACGTATACCTCCCAGTTACCTTTCTTTCTTCTATTGCCGGCCTGTGCAATCCAATAGTCTATAACCATTCCTTATTTTGAGTTTAATCCAACTTTATAACCCTTGTCGCCAGTCTCCCTCCCGCTTCCGGTCTCACCAACTGTCGCAACCTTCAAGATTTACCCTGCACTGCGCACGAGTGGAGCTTCACCCTACGGTGACTTGTCATTCTTTCGTCACCCAATAATAACTGTTGAAAAACACTCTCACCTCCGGATTCTTGATAACCTTTCACCGTTAACCTTCACATCCGCCTTCACGGATCTTCACCGTACGTGGATCATTCGTACGTCAACCTAGAATTACTCCGCGTCGCTCTACCTCACCATCTCAACCTTCCGCCCCACCAAAAGCTCCCCTCGATACTAGTACCTAGTCGCGCTGCCACCCTCAGTTGACAACACCCCCGCAACAACAATCGCCATCACCCACTTGCCAGCACGATGCCGGGCGATACTGCAGGAGAAGGCCGTCTTCTCCTCGTCTCGAATCGTCTCCCGATCACCATCAAGAGATCTGATGAGGGAAAATATGACTTTTCTATGTCCTCGGGCGGACTTGTCAGCGGCTTAAGCGGCCTTTCAAAATCAACCACCTTCCAGTGGTACGGATGGCCTGGCTTGGAAGTGCCAGAGAATGAGATCGGAACACTCAAAGATCGCCTGAAGGAGGAGTACAATGCAGTACCAATCATGCTGGACGATGAATTGGCCGATAGACACTACAACGGCTTCTCAAGTATGCCAACAGCAACATCTGCGATCGCAATCTACCAGCGTGCTAACAATCGCAACAGATTCAATCCTCTGGCCCCTCTTCCACTACCACCCCGGTGAAATCACCTTCGACGAGTCTGCGTGGGAAGCGTACACCGAGGCAAACCGACTTTTCGCGAAGGCGATTGCGAAGGATGTACAAGACAACGATCTAGTCTGGGTACACGACTACCACCTCATGCTCCTACCCGCGATGCTTCGAGAGGAACTCGGCGAGTCGAGGAAGAATGTCAAACTTGGATTCTTCCTCCACACCCCATTCCCAAGCTCCGAAATCTACCGCATTCTTCCTGTGCGAAACGAGATTCTGCTCGGAGTCTTGCATTGCGACTTGATCGGCTTTCACACCTACGATTACGCCCGTCATTTCTTGAGCAGCTGTTCCAGGATCCTGGGTCTTGCGACTACCCCGAATGGTGTTGAATTCCAAGGCAAGGTTATAACAGTCGGCGCTTTCCCAATCGGTATTGACCCTGAGAAATTCGATGAGGGTCTCAAGAAGCCCAAGGTCCAGGAACGCATTGCTACCCTAGAGCGGAAATTCCAAGGTGTCAAGCTCATCGTCGGTGTGGATCGCCTCGACTACATCAAAGGTGTTCCCCAGAAACTCCACGCCCTGGAGGTGTTCTTGACAGAGCACCCAGAATGGATTGGCAAAGTCGTTCTTGTCCAGGTGGCGGTCCCCAGCCGTCAAGATGTGGAAGAATACCAGAACCTACGAGCCGTCGTTAACGAGCTTGTTGGCCGAATCAACGGCAAGTTCGGGACGATCGAGTTCATGCCTATTCATTTCATGCACAAGTCAGTCTCCTTTGATGAGCTCATTGCTCTCTATGCAGTATCGGATGTCTGCCTAGTTTCCTCAACCCGCGATGGAATGAATCTGGTGTCGTACGAGTACATCGCAACCCAAGAGCAGCGCCACGGCGTCATGATTCTCTCGGAGTTCACCGGAGCTGCCCAGAGTCTTAATGGAAGTCTGATTGTCAATCCATGGAATACAGAAGAGCTTGCAGATGCAATTCACGACGCTGTCACCATGGGAGACGAACAGCGTCAATTGAACTACCAGAAGCTGGCCAAATACGTGAAGAAATACACCAGGTATGTTGTGAATGATCTCGAACTACTAATAACACATAAATATTGACAATTACTGTTCAGTGCATGGTGGGGACAATCGTTCGTCACTGAACTGACCAGGATATCGGATCAAGCAGAGAAGAAACTCAAGATCCGCCGCGGCTCCATCATCGACGCATCAGTGAGCACTCCTACGCTCGAGGACACTCAACTGCCACCCAAGCCTACGGCGCCAGCCGTCGTCGGCGAAAACTCCCAAACCCGCTAGGGTTAGGTAAGTGTGCCAAAATGTCCTTTCGATCACACATCACATCAGCATGAAGGAAGAGGCGTCATGGAGTATTTGTTTTCCCCCCTATGAGCGGCAGGTTATGGCATCGTGTGCTGGCGTGGGTCATGGACGAGAAATGTAATAGACGGGCCAAAGCCACCGAATAGATATATATCCCCCTCTCTTCCTCGAAGACGATTATCGTCTTCCAATACTATACCTGAGTCTGCAATCAGACTACTACTTCATTGTTCTCTTCCCTTGAGATTTGTTTGTCCTGCAGTGTAACGTCCATCTCGTCAACATTGGCGTTCAGCCACGTTGAAATGTGTCTCAGCCAGCGCTATTGTTTGTTTCTACCTTCGGAAGCGCTGATTTTACCAGGCTGAGAGGCAGGGGCCATAGAATGAATAATGGACTTGCGAAACGAGTCGTTTGTCGTGAGACAAACGCTCGAGGTAGCTAACTTTGTAAAAAGCAAGTTTTTAAAATGAAAATTATGCTTAATAGGAGTACACTACGTTTTAAAAATAAGTTTGAGACATCACGATCTTCTCGAAGAGTCGAAAAATGTTAAGGTCTTGACAAAGTGTGGGTTGCATACTCAAAATACGAACATACTATGTTCTCCAGTGTGTACTTGATGGACGGCTTGGCTGCAAGGGGGCCGACTAGTGGTCTGTGAACCCTGATGCCTGCTCGCATCTGCAGCAGCTTCATGGGAATGATTCCCCATCCCCAAAAAGGTCTTAATAGCCGTCAGAGTCGCTGACATTCATTCATTGCACAACTGCAGGCCATCTTTTGTCTCTTGCAGTACTGCAGTCGCACCAGGCCCATATCGCCTTGCGACCCTCCTCTGGATGCTTAGTCGTTGGTCGTCGTCATTGGTCGCTTTCAATAGCAGAAGTTTCGCGACACTCCGTTCACCTTCGCCATCACCACCGCGCAACCTCCTCCTCAACCTTTCACGACCATCCTTCACTCCTCGACAGTACAAAACCAGCCTCTCACTCGGCGCATTTACCCGCCTCTACAGTACCACAAAATCCACGCCCATGGACCTAAATGGCGATTCGACCGAAGCCCGTGTCAAGCGCAAGCAACCTCCCAGTCCGTCCAACGACCGCCCTATGAAGCAATTTAAACCCGAGTCTGAGTCTCACGACCAGAATGGTGCATACACGCCCGGGAGCTCTGATGAGCGTTCCCTCAGCGAAGCAGGATCCCCGATCATCGAAGAAACATCTGGTGACATCACGCCCGCGCACATCTCCGGAGCGGCGCTCCACGATACCGCAGCATGGCAAAAGACCATCGAGAAGGTCGTGAGGAACGTTGTTTCGATACATTTCTGCCAGACGTATTCTTTTGATACTGATGGCGCTGTCTCCTCCGAGGCTACGGGTTTTGTCGTAGATGCGGAGAGAGGATACATCCTCACGAACAGGGTAGGTTGCGCAACACCAAAAGTCGCGCGAAATGGCAGTCTAACATGGAATAGCACGTCGTCGGCGCTGGTCCCTTCATTGGATACTGTATATTCGATAATCACGAGGAGGTAAGATTTACATTTTCTATTACAGCCTCTTCAGCCGCTAAGTTTGCACTCAGTGTGACGTCTACCCTGTCTACCGCGACCCGGTCCACGATTTCGGCATCCTCCGATTCGATCCCAAGGTCATCAAATACATGCCCCTCTCCGCGCTTCAACTTCGCCCAGATCTGGCTAAGGTTGGTGTGGAGATCCGCGTGGTCGGAAACGATGCGGGAGAGAAATTGAGTATCTTGTCTGGAGTGATCAGTCGGTTGGATCGCAATGCACCCGAGTATGGCGAGGGTTATTCGGATTTCAACACAAACTACATCCAGGCTGCGGCGGCTGCTAGTGGAGGAAGTTCTGGAAGTCCTGTAGTCAATAAGGATGGCTTTGCTGTCGCGCTGCAGGCTGGCGGAAGGGCAGACGGTGCTGCGACAGACTACTTCCTTCCACTAGATCGACCCCTTCGGGCGCTAGAGCTCATAAGAGAAGGCAAAGACGTCTCTCGGGGAACCATACAGACTCAATGGATCCTCAAGCCCTTTGATGAGTGTCGCAGACTTGGTCTTTCTTCCGAATGGGAGAAGGCCATCCGAACAAAGTTCCCTAAAGAGACAGGCATGCTTGTTGCGGAAGTCGTTCTACCAAAAGGACCGGCATCTTCGCATATCGAGGAGGGTGATCTGCTCATCCAGGTCAACGGAGAGTTGATAACTCAGTTCGTTCGCCTGGACTCGATATTGGACGACAGCGTTGGCAAGAAAGTCTCGCTGATGATCCAGCGCGCTGGCGAGGACATGACTGTCGAGCTAGACGTTGCTGATTTACACGCAATTACTCCAGATCGTTTCGTGTCTGTGGCTGGCGCCAGTTTCCATGACCTTTCCTATCAGCAAGCTCGACTGTACGCGATTTCTCTCGAGAACGCTGGTGTTTTTGTCTGCGAAGCCGCGGGTTCGTTCCGCTTCGCAGATGGCTATTCTTCTGGATGGTTGGTGCAGGAGGTGGACAACAAGCCAACACCAACCCTTGACGCATTCATCGAGGTCATGAAGTCGATTCCCGATAGGAAACGCATAGTCATCACATACAAGCATCTACGAGATCTGCACACAACCAACACGAGTATCACAACAGTCGACCGCCATTGGCACAAGACGATGCGATTGGCCAAGCGTAACGACGTGACAGGACTTTGGGACTTCAGCAACCTTTCGGAGGCCATCCCTGCCGTGCCACCGATCCCACGAAGAGCCAATTTCGTCAAGCTTAGTTCGAAATACCCTGAGGCCGTTGATATCGTTCGTAGTTTCGTGCGTGTGCACGTGGCTATGCCCGTCAAGCTTGATGGATTCCCCAAGGCCAACAAGCAAGGCTACGGTCTCGTAGTGGATGCCGAACAAGGACTGGTCCTTGTATCCCGTGCCCTCATTCCATACGACCTATGTGATATTTTCTTGATCATCGCCGACTCCATCTTCGTGGAGGCAAAGATTGTTTTCCTTCACCCTCTTCAGAACTACGCGATCGTCAAGTACGACACATCACTTGTCAATGCGCCAGTCAAGACTCCCAAGTTCTCTACCGAGTTCATCAAGAAAGGAGAGGACACAATCTTCTTCGGTTTGAACCAAAACTTTAGGCCAGTTGTTGCGAAGACCGTCGTCACCGACATCACCACAGTTGCTATTCCTGCTAGTGCGGTGACACCAAGATATAGGGCTACGAATGTGGATGCCATCACGGTTGATACGAATCAGGCCTCACACAGTGCCTGTGGTGTGTTGATCGCAGAAGACGGCACGGTGCAAGCACTTTGGCTTTCATATCTCGGAGAGAGGGGATCGCACAGTGGAAAGGACGTCGAGTATCACTTGGGTCTAGCTACGCCGATGATTCTGCCAGTTCTCCGCGAGATCCAGAGTGGTAATACCCCGAAGTTGAGGATCTTGAACGTTGAATTCCAGACGGTTCAGATGAGTCAAGCCCGCGTCATGGGCGTCAGCGAGAACTGGATCGAGAAGACAGAACATGAGGATCCCGAGCGCCACCAGCTGTTCATGGTGCGGAAGGTGGACTCTGGACACGAGGATGGCCTGCAAGAGGGCGACGTCCTACTCACTCTCAACGGCAGGCTAGTGACCCGTGCTCCTGACCTAGACGTAATGTACAATAACGAGTTCCTCGACGCTGTCGTTGTGCGTAAACGCGAGGAGCTCTCCATCAAGGTCCCAACTGTGGCAACGGAAGATCTGGAGACAGACCGTGTTGTCATTTTCTGCGGCGCCACCCTTCATCGACCGCATCAAGCCGTCCGCCAACAAATCAGCAAAATCCACTCTGACGTCTACATCTCCTCACGGGGACGCGGGTCGCCATCATACAGTAAGTGCCACCGTCGTACCTCATTTCTTTGCAAAATTTCCTAACCTCCCACCCAGTGTACGGCCTCGCGCCAACCAACTTCCTCACCCACGTCAACAACGTGCCCACGCCCGACCTCGACGCCTTCCTAACCGAAGTCAAGAAGATCGGCGACAACGAGTACTTCCGCCTCAAGGTCATGACCTTCGACAACGTGCCGTGGGTCGCCACCATGAAGAAGAACGAACACTACTTCCCCACCATCGAGTACGTCAAGGACAGCGCCGAGCCGCTCGGCTGGAAGAAAATCATGCACGAGTTCGACGAGGGCGGCGCCCGCGACGAGACGGCTATCGTGGACGTCGAAATGGACGCTGGAAACGAAGAGACAATCGACTCGGGGAACTTGAATGGAGATGCTAATAAAGATGATGCGCCGGCGTAGATGGGGAGTAAAATAGGGGAGATCGTACGCGGAAAGAAAGAAAGACAGACGGCTGCCGAGACGGATTATCAAGACGGTCTGGAACCTACCTACACACAAATATACATTGTAACCATATAGAATAAACAAAAAACCTGCTTTTGCAGAAAGCATGTCTCGTTGAGGTGGGGGTGGGCAAGATGAATATATTGGTATAATTCTGCCACTCCAACGGTCGTCATATTATCTACCTGAGTATATTCACATACTTGCAAAGAAAAATACTGGAATGATAAGAGAGTGAGAGAGGGAAGGAAAGAGAGGGGAGAAGGGAAAGAAAATAATTGAGTATGACTTTGTATAGTGTAGTATAATCGAACATGATTGGTATCACATTTTTTGTCTAGGGTGAATTGTAATATTTTGGAATTAATATAACTACGTAATGGCAAAATAAAAGATAGACAGCGATGAAGCATGCGGACGACTATGAAGATGCTTTTGCGTTTGATTTTATCGATTTTATTCCTCTCTCTGCGTCGTTCCCTACCTCCCTACCTCCCTACCTATTTACCGCCCCCAACGACCACAACCGCCCTCCTCTATCCTACTCATCCACCCCAACATCACACGATTCAGTCACACAAGCAAAAAAAGTCCAAAAAAAAAAACGAAATACATACAACAGCGGGGATTCGCTGATGGTCACCCACTCAACTACTAGTCCGCCGGTACTATGCTTAAGTATGGCTGAGCGAACGGGAAGCCCTGTTTTCATAGTCCAATGGTCGTATGTGAAAGATTTACCTTTTCCTTATCCTATAACATTGAGCAATTGTGATTCAACATCACAGCACAAGGTTGAGGGAGGTGAATGCATATGAGATACATAGTTATAATTCTCAATCCTCCCCCTCAAAGAACTTACGAGCGCTCTCCGCCGCAACCTCCATCTCCCCCTCCAACCCCAACCCCCGATACGCCAACAGCAGATTATGCGGCGCCGTCTCCGTCGAACAGAATCTCACTCTGTTCCCCTGCACCCGCTCCATCTCCACCGTGAACTCGTTCACCTGATCGAAGAACGCCTCGCCGCCGCCCGCGTGCACGAACAACGGCACGGTCGTCGCGAACGCATGGTGAAGCGGCGAGATGAAGGGTAGAACGTCGCTGGGCGGCGTCTTCCCGGGCTCGGGGAGGTAGGCGTCGGCGCCCCATTGGAGGAGCGAGGGGATGAGGAGGTCGTGTGCGGAGTTGCGGCACTGGGTGTAGTCGGCGCCGGCGGTGGGCGTCACGTGTACCCAGGGCGACCAGAGCATGGCGCCTCCTGGGGGAGGGAGATGGGGGGACGGGTTGCTGGAGAGGTGTCTGAGGAGGGCGAGGATGAGGTTTCCGGCGGCGGAGTCGCCAGAGAGGATGATGTTGGCGGGGGGGATGCCCAGGGAGAGGATGTAGTGGTAGGAGGTGACGAGGTCCTGGATCGCGCTTGGGAAGCGCGTTTGGGAGTCGCTGGATACGCGGTATTGGGCGAGGAAGGTTCGGGTTGCTTTCAGGTGTCGCGTCATGATGTTCGAGATGTCTTGTCCGTTCTCTTCGGTGCCAAAGGCGAGGACGAAGGCTCCGCCGGCGAAGTGGAGGACGACTTTCTCGTCTCTGAGGCTAGGAGCTGCTTCTCCTTCTCTTTCACTTTGAGGGATCGGGCTCGGGAACCATAGTCCACCTACGGCTGCTGGTTTCGACGTCCCAGAAGCCAGTACCCCCGAGTAGAGGCTTGCATCGGCGGGTTCGACCAAAGCGAATCGTTCCTTTGCGCGTCTATGTCCAGACTCGACGCCAGCGACCCCGTTTGACCGCGTTTGAGTGTAGTAGCGGAACAATTCGCGAGCTACTACGTTGACGACGCATATCTTCAGACTCCAACCAGGAACGGGACGTGACCATTTTGGACTGTAGCGTAGCAGAGACAATGGTATGAGGCCAATCAGTTTGACGATGAAGAAGACGCCGTAGAGGGCTTTGAACGGCTGTTTAGACCAAGCTGTCATGTTGGTGGGTGAAGTGAATTTGGCATACCAAGGGCCGGGGTGGCCAGGAGAGGGGAGTGGGAGTGAGATTGAGAGAATGAAAATGAAGGTGTTGAGGGGCGAGGTTGCGGGGGAGGTCAACGGCAATGGCAATGTCGCGGAGTCGTGCGAGACCTTGGAGGGGAAGGGTGACTCAATAATAACACCGACTATGATAACAATAATAGCGAGGCGAATTCACAAGCAAAGACAAAGCCTTGTGGAAAGATGAAAGCGGGGGAGGCAGTGTTCGGGGTTGTATTATTGGGGCGTATGTATGATACATACAAGCAGCCTTGCCGAGATGTGCGGAGATGTGCAGAAATGTAACCTGAACCATACTGTCTCACTTCCAGCGACAAATCAATCTATCAACATCCTAGTGCAGGGGTAGGATCATTAGTTAAAGCAAGTCAAAAACCAACACACTGCTCGTAAGACGACAAATTGAACAACAAGCTCACTGGCTGGGTGCTCTTGGTTGACATGCACCTTGTAACATGCCCAGGAGTTGGAATTGGGGCCGTCCGTAGAAGGACGAAACAGAAAGAGGAGATTGCCAATTGTCCCTGTTTCCACCATTTTGATTCTAGTTTTCATCATTTATCTATTGAAATTTCATTTTCGGCTATTGACCACTACAAGCCTTGATATCTAAAGAGTCTGCCGTCAAGGTAACTTCCAATGGGTACGCCATGGAATTGAAGTGAAAGTACACGATGAAAACAATTGATCATAAAATTGTTCAGAACTATAAGAAAGTTTTCAGGAAGAATAGCTATTGATGCAACGAAATCCGAGACCTTAGGCTGCATGACTTGGGATGTGGTCCTTACTATCGTGGGATCTATCATGAGAATTTTCCTCCATCCTGATCCAATAATTTTCGTCACGGCTCTCGTTCGTCTTGCCAGACCTGTCACCTGTTGTGCTCCATTTGCTTGACTTCCCTCTCGAGCGCGTGGAAAGATATTGGCTCTTTAGTGACGATAACGGCTTGCTCACGCTCCGAATCAGCGGGCCCAGTGCTGGCAAAGTACTACATACGATAGCTGTGCCTAATTGTATCGTGGACCACATCATTGCAGGGGAAAAGTTCACTTTCTGGGTGTTAGCATGGTTATTCTGTGACAGACGAAAGATGAGACTCACCCTCTCGCGATGGGTCTCTTGCGTCGTATACGGCCGTCATTCGGATTATACTTGCTATACAGACACTAACAAGGTCAGCATATGATAGAGGAAGAAGAACGGTAATCTTTGCTGAGGCACACGTACAAGCCTCCTAGCATGAATATCGCCATCGTAGAGGCCCTCTTCAATGGCGAAAGCTGCAGCGCCTTGATCGGCTTGATCGGTATGCACAATATGACGACGTCTAGGAAGAAGTTTGTTAACTCGTAGCCGAGAACGAGTTGCTGCGACTTGTGGCACGCTGGCGGTTGTGCGAACATGTTCCAGTAGGCGTCTACGGGACTGCACTGGAATATGAAAACGAATGTGACTATGATGAACCAGATGATGCACGCTGCTCCCGTTGCGTAGATTGCCTTCCGAATCATGGGATAGACGGCAAATATGGGATGATAGAACCAGAGGATGCTAATCTTTGCAGCAGTTATAACACATCCCATGATGAGCTCAAGGATGTATGATGTCTACCAGCAGTGAGCTCTATATCCGTTGTCCAGTATTGGTTTAGAAACATACCTTTAGTAAATTCTTTAACTCATCCAAGCCAAGCAATGGATCAGGTTCAAAAGCGCGATACATGGATATGTTGAATATGTCTGCCATCGTTAGCCCCATGACTAAATAATAATATCATTCAAATATAGGCATTCGACGGGCGGCGTACGATTTATGATCACTCCACAGTATGCGCAAAATAGGCCAAAGGCCAAGAAGGAGAACCAATCAGCAATCATCAGAGTCTGTCCAAGCGATACCCTCACTACAAGTCGCAAGAGTATCACAATTGTTGTAAGGACGAGCATGGTTATGCAAGCCACGAAGTTGTGGCTCGCACTCGATGTGAGGGAAGTCATAACGAAGTGAGAGATCGTAAGTTCGTCAAAGGATCTTTGGTAAACGCCAGCCACTCCCGCAGCCAGGAGTGCAGCTTATATGTCCTCCAAGCTGCAGCTCGAGGTAAAGGCTGCATTTCCAAGCCCAACACTTCGAGTGAGATTCAATCATCATAGTGTAACGAACTGCAAGGCTGCTTTGTAGGTGCCGACTGAGACCCAAAAGGTAGGTTCCCGGCTTGGCGCATGGGGCGTAATCGCATCAATGCCATATAAACCACTTTTTAATCTATCTCCGTCTCCTTAGCGCCGAAGGATTCGCGTACAGCGTAGGCACATCTGCAGTCATGGTTCCTGGCTCCTGTGATTCTTGACTATCTTGCGTTCCTCCGTGACGAACCGCCGGCGCCGTTCTCAAAGCCAACCAGCTTTAGCTAGTCAGTTTGCAAGTATTGCTATGAGGTTCATTACAAGGGGTTTACTAGCTAGTACATACCCAATCATGTTTGGAGTATATTATTGACCAAAGACGGACCCCACGTACTATTAGCCTGTATCTAATGGTCACCGAGATCCAGGATCTTCATTGACGACAAGATAGGAAAGTGTGTAGTTCGATGTGATTGGTTGCTAATCGATTTCAGGGCGATGTCTAAGGACACTGCCTTCTCTAGTACTCGTCATAATGGTCTCAGACACATCAATAAACTTAAGTCTTTGGGGTCTAAGATACGAGGTCAAAAGGAGACCTTCGGCGCAGATGGTGGAAGCATTGCAGGAGAAAGTGACAGTCACCTTCACAGATTCTTTTATTCTGTAGATCAGTCAAAATAAATCACTCCATACCCAACATGGCAGATCCCGTGGCGGTAACTGGCTTTGCCTTCCGCTTTCCTGGAGATGCTGTTACTGAGGAGGCTTTCTGGGACATCATTGCAAAAGGGCAGTCTACAATGACAGAAGTCCCCGAAAGCCGTTACAACATCAATGGCTTTCATGGGCCGAAGGGATCGAGTCGAAATAGTGTGAGATGATATATCGAATTCTACATATTCTCTCCATGCTAATCGATTTGCAATCCAGGTTTCCTGCCGTGGCGGTCACTTTATCAAGGGAGACATTTCGGCTTTTGATGCTCCTTTCTTTGCCATGAGCCCTGCGGAAGCTAGAGCAATGGACCCTCAACTTCGTCTTATGCTTGAGACCGCCTACCACGCTCTGGAATCCGGTGAGTCTCCGAGATTACATTATACCATGTACAATTAATGATGTTTGGGAAGCTGGCCTCACGATGGAAAAGGTTCACGGGACCAATACATCGGTATACGTTGGCAATCTTGCAGCCGAGTACTCTTCGCTGTTTACCAACGACGACGAGATCCATGCTGCATATCAGGCAACTGGAATGTCAGGGGCCATGCTGTCCAACCGTATCAGCTGGTTCTACGATTTGCATGGACCAAGTATCACCATTGATACGGCGTGCTCAAGTGGTTTGGTGGGTCTCCATTTGGCCTGCCAGAGTTTGCTGCAGCATGAATCCGAAATGGTAAGACTTGGAATAAGCGTCAATGGCGGACGAATCACTGAAAATCTTCTAGAGCTTGGTAGGAGGTGTGCAATTACAACTCAACCCAAGTATGATGACGATGCCATTATCACAACAAGGCTTTTTGTCTCCCGACAGCCACTGCTACAGCTTTGATGATCGTGCCAACGGTTATAGTAGAGGTGAGGGAGTGGGAATTGTCGTTCTGAAACTTCTTTCCAAGGCCATCGAGGATGGCGACACAATCCGAGCAATCATTCGTGGCACATCTACCAATCAAGACGGCCATACACCTTCCATTACACAACCCAGCCACCTAGCTCAGGCAGCTCTGATTCGCCAGGCATACAAGAATGCTAATTTAGACTTCGATGACACACAGTACTTCGAAGCCCACGGCACAGGGACATCTGTCGGCGATCCGATCGAGGCTTATGGGATCAATGAAGTCTTCTCCCGACATGCCAATACCGGGAATCCTCTATTTGTTGGATCAGTGAAAGCAAACATTGGGCATCTTGAATCCGCAGCTGGAATAGCAGGAGTGATCAAGGCTGTCCTATCTCTAGAGAGAGGAATGATCCCACCAAATGCGCTTCTAAAGAACATCAATCGAGCTATATATGCTGACGACTGGAACATGAAGGTATGGTCTCGTTTCATAGTGAGATCTATCATTGACTTATGCAGTTTCCGACTATGGCCACGCCCTGGCCAACGAATGGACCAAGACGAGCTTCTGTAAACAGGTAAGATTTTGTTGTGTTGCCTGAATTTGCTTGTAATCTGACTTTCATGCTACCTCTGGATATGGCGGTATTCGCACCGCCATATACCAAGGTAGCTAGTGCATTAGCTTTGGAGTTGGAGGTGCAAATGCTCACGCAGTACTCGATGATGCCTTCCACTACATGGAGTCCCGAAATTTGAAAGGAAACCATAACACACTTACAGAACCCAAGACCAACGGGGTTCGAAAGCAACTAATAATATCGAATGGTGTCCAATTAGCTGAGAATGGTCACACAGAAAACACAACGAGCAACTATCCACATCTGCTCATCCTCTCCGCAGCTGATGAGGACGGCATCTATCGGCTGGCTGCTACTCTAGAAAAGTATCTCTCAAAGTGTGGCAATGAGACTACCGAATACATTCAGGACCTCGCCTACACATTGAGCGCCAAACGTAGCAGGTTGCCATGGAAGGCTTTTGCCGTTGGATCTACGATGGAGGAGCTACAAAAGTGCCTCAAAAACATGCCAATCAAGCCTGCTCGCTCAATAAAATCTCCTATGATATGTTTCACATTCACCGGGCAAGGTGCACAGTGGGCTACCATGGGAATCGACCTTATCGACCGTTACGACGTTTTCAGAGACACTATGCACTTTGCGGATGGGTACCTGCGCTCTCTAGGATCATCGTGGTCAATACTCAGTAGGTGCATCCTATCAACTCTAGACAATTCTAACACCTGCTAGGCGTGTTGCGTGCGACCGCGTCTTCGTCCGAGATTGATGACCCTGCGATTGCGCAACCTCTATGCTGCGCTCTGCAAATTGCACTCGTTGATCTATTGACCTCTTGGGGCATTGTTCCTGAAGCTGTTGTCGGTCATTCATCCGGAGAGATCGCCGCGGCATATAGCGCAGGTCTTCTCTCTATGACCAGCGCTTTGCGAGTGGCATACTACCGAGGCGAAGCTACCCGGGCCTTGCTCAAGGATGACCAGAAGGCTGACAAAGGTGCTATGCTTGCCGTTGCACTATCTGAGCTCGAGCTATCTGCCTACATTTCTGATATCGTCGGTAAAAACGGCGAGGATTTACTCTCCTGCGGCTGCATTAACAGTCCTCAGAACACGACTGTGACTGGAGTAGAGACATACATAGACGAACTGGCGCGCCGCCTACAAGCTGACAATATCTTCAACCGAAAGCTGAACGTCCCGGTCGCGTATCATTCGCACCAGATGCTAAAGGTCGCCGACAAGTACTTGAAGACTCTGAAAGAAGATGGCCTACAGGCCAGTCCTCAAGGTGCACGCTCAGTTTTCCCAATATTCGTGTCTTCTGTCACGACTTATCAAGTTGGCCCCGAGGAACTTCTTCAGCCAGAATACTGGATCCGCAATCTTGTATCTACGGTGAGATTCTCTGAGGCGCTCGAAATGATTTTTCACGAGCATCAATCGTCCAGCGATCCGAAGCCCTTGGCTTACCTTGTCGAGATCGGTCCCCACTGTGCACTGGAGCGGCCAATTCGAGACACACTTACGGACAAGGTCGCCTACAGCTACGATACTACGCTACGCCGCGGAGTGCATGCCATTCAAACAATGCAAAGTCTGTCTGGGAGACTATTTGCAAATGGCTACTCTGTCGATGTGCAAGCAGTCAATAGCCTACCGGGGAGTCAGAGACAACCTAAAATGCTACTGAATTTACCTTCGTACCCGTTCAACTCCTCACGGTCCTACTGGCTCGAAAGCAGGCTTTCGCAAAACCATCGAACACGTCGTACTCCACGACATGATTTTCTGGGAAATCCATCAAATGATTGGAACCCCATGAAACCGAAGTGGCGTTTCACGATTCGTGAATCTGATCTCCCTTGGCTATCTGACCACAAGGTATGTGATCCAAAGCGTGAAGGTTGGTTGAGACAGAAATTTGGAAGGCTAATATCTACGACAGGTTGACGGCACGATACTATACCCAGGCAGTGGGTTTTTGGTTATGGTTTTAGAAGCCGTTCGCAGTCTCACTTCGGATATACCTGGAATCTCCGGTTATCGGATCAGAGATGCAAAGGTGCCAAATGCTTTAGTGATCAATCCTGAAGAGGAGGGTATTGAAGCCCAGTTGCACATGCACTCTCATGGTGCCAGCTCTTCTAATCAAGGAGCCCAATCCTGGGACTTCTGGATCTATTCAGTCTCGGGCGCGGACTGGAAGGTGTGCTTCTCGGGCAACGTAACGACCGAATTGTCTCCATTGGTTGATACTGTCTCGGAGGCTTCGTTATCCCAAAGAAACCAACCACTCCACGATGACATGTCCCACTTTGACCATCAAGATTCAAAATCGTTTTACAAAGACCTCTATCAACAAGGCTTCCAGTTTGGTGAGACTTTCCAAACCCTCCAAACCATCAAGATCAACGGAAAGAAGGCCGAAGCGACAGCGAAGGTCGACTTCAAAGACTGGAGGCAGCAAATGAAACAGCATGGGATAAGTGATCATCTGATTCATCCCGCCACATTGGACAGCCTATTCCACGTAATTTTTGCTGCCCAATACAAGCAGTCATCATCGCTTCCAAGGGTAGTTCCCACGCACCTTTCGGAAGTCTATATTTCCCTCGAGCTAGTCAATGATATTCCGATGGATACCCTGAGACTCCATGGCAGTATCACGGATAGTGGGCTTTCCGGAATAACTGGGAATGTCGAGGCTCGGAGTGGCATCGAGGGAAAGATCATGGTGGACATGCGTGGCTGCAAATTAACCACTCTGTTGACAGCTAAGAAGACACAAGACAACAGCATGCCGCCTACCAGCCTTTTTCATCGGGTTGACTGGAAACCGGATATCAGTTTGCTCTCACGCAGCGGCATCGAAGACCATCTTCAAGAGTGCACCCAAGCCATTGCCAATGTGGGTGGGGATATCAAAGCTGAGATTGTTTGTCGCCATTTCATGTCCACCACACTCGACGAGGTGTCGAAAATGGATACATCGGATGTAAGCTCTGAACCCCATCTGAGAAAATATTTGGCGTGGGTCAAGAACTTCACCGAAACCGAGAAGGAAAAAACAGCCGCTCTCATTCTATCAGTGTGGCCTGAGTTCAGCGATCCTGACGCTAGAATCGCCTTAATTGACGAATATGCGCAAACTATACCATGGCGAGCAGGTATCGTGTCATTTTGCCGGAACCTGGTGGCTATTCTCCAGCATAAGGTTGACCCTTTGGACATCTTGTTCAACCAAGGCGTAGCGGAGAGCATCTACCGAAGTCCGCTTTTGACTCTCACAGCGGGGAGACTTGCTGCTTACATTGATCTTGTCGCTCACAAGAACTCCAATATCAATATCCTCGAGGTGGGAGCCGGAACGGGGAGTACCACGAGTGCTGTACTTGACACACTTTGCAAGCATGGGAGATCTACAGGCGCGTCACCGCGTTTTAACCACTACGACTTTACTGACGTATCGCCGAGTTTCTTCGCCGTCGCCCAAGAGCGATATGTCCATGTGTCTAGCCGCATGAAGTTCAAGGTCTTTGACTTGGAGCGCGACCCAGAAGAACAGGGCTTTGAGGCTAAGTCGTACGATGTCATCATTGCAGCAGCGGTATGTCGAAATCCTCGTTAAATGAGTAGATCAATTTCAAAATGTAAATTGCTAACTGATATATTTCAGGTGATACATGCCACGGCAAGTATCGAAAAAACACTGGGCTTCCTTAAGAAGCTTCTCAAGCCGTAAGTTCAATCCAAGGAAATGCTGAGGTTAAGGCTAACTATAATCTAGCGGCGGTCAACTCGTGTTTTCCGAGCCGACAAACCAACGTATGGCTGCGACTTCAGGTGTCTTTGGCGTACTTCCTGGCTGGTGGCTCTGTGAGTGACTCTCGGTGCTCATTCACTGTATGCACAGTTACTGACTGGTTAATACACAGCAACCGAGGAGTACAGATCATCAGGACCACTGTTACCTCAACACGAATGGAACAAAGCGCTCCTACGAACGGGATTCACTGAACTAGAGGTTGCTTTGGCTGATGATGTCGAAGAAACTCATTTAACCTCCCTATTGGTTTCTCGTGTCCCCAATGATACTGAACCAAACCCCGACCTGCCTACTGCCATCTTGGTTGAGACGTCCCGCCAGAGAGAACTCGCAGAAATTCTCAAATTTAGACTGAGTGCGCTGAGCAAGTGCGAGTACACCGTCTTTTCCGTCGACTCCGTTACTGGCGACCTATCCGCTTACCAAAGATGCATATCCCTTCTGGAGTTTGACAGTACCATCTTCTCAAATCTTACCAAGACGCAATTCGCCATCCTGAAAGAGATACTGAGGGCCTGCAAACAAGTACTATGGGTCACCACCAAATGTGGGAGAGACCCCAATAAGCCAGAAGCAGCCATGGTATCTGGATTTTCGAAAACAATCACGCGGGAGAACCCAGGCCAAAGTTTCGTTTGTCTCGACTTGAACTCGACGAAAAACACCACGGAAGTTATCTCGCAGATCGAGAATCACATTCGAAAGATATCGCCTAGTCTAGTAGAGACGGATCTGCTGGAAGAGGGAGGTGTAGTCTACATTCCCCGGGTGGTTGAAGCTCCTGAGATCAACCGTCTTCGGGACGATTCTCTACATGGATTTAGCCCTGTGCCTAGCGAGACAAAAGAAGTAGAGGATCCACTTGAATTGCGTTTCACGCCTGGTCAACTCGATTCGTTTCATTTTGGCCCGGACGCTTCAGTCAAAGTTCCACTGGCTGATCAGGAGGTGCTCATCGAAGTGAAAGCAGCCGGGATTAACTTCAGAGATGTCATGGTCGTTCTCAACCAGCTCCCAGCGAGCTACTTTGGCTACGAGTTCGCTGGCATTGTCACCAAGTGTGGTGTTAATTCTAGTTTCTCCCCAGGAGACAGAGTTTGCGGTCTCGCTACGAGTGGAAGTTTCCGTTCCTTTGTACGCGCAAAGGAATCGCATGTCATGAGAATGCCTTCGGATATGCCATTCACTGAGGCGGCTGCGGTGCCTTTAGCATTCGCCACGGCTCAGTATTCTCTGTGCCATGTTGCTCGATTGAAACAGGGCGAAAGTATTTTGATTCACAGTGCGGCTGGTGGAGTAGGCCAGGCGGCAATCCAGATTGCCCAGTCCATAGGTGCCATCATCTATGTAACTGTCAGTACTCCTGAAAAGAAAAGATTGCTCATGGACCGCTACGGGATTGCCGAAAGCCATTGCTTTTCCAGCCGGCACACATTCTTTGCGCAGCAATTGATGCACAATACGACAGGACGGGGTGTAGATGTGGTCCTCAATTCGCTCACGGGTTTGGCACTGACAGAAACCTGGCGGTGCATGGCCCCGCTCGGGAGGTTCGTTGAGATAGGCAAGCGGGACATTGCTGCCTCCAAGAGTCTCCCCATGGACCCGTTCGAACGCAACGTTTCATACTCTTCAGTCGACCTTTCCATCGTAAGTAAGCTCAATGAGCAACTAATGGCCCAGATTGTGCAGGAAGTCGAACTGCGTCTTCTGGACGATGTATCGCAACAGCAAATGGCACCTTATCCTTTATCAGTTTTCACCCGGTCGAAGATCGAGGATGCATTCCGCTTCTTGCAAACAGGTCAACATACAGGAAAAGCAGTTGTGGACTGGGAAACTCCAGATACTGTCCAGGTAACTATTCTGCGGAACCCAGCACTACCAGCGTACAGGGACTGACAAACCAGGTTATCCCCAAGAACCCTCTGAACTATAGTTTCGACAGCAATGCTACTTATGTAATAACTGGCGGTCTTGGGGGCATAGGAAGGAGTCTGGCAATGTGGTTCACCCGTTCTGGCGCGAAACATCTGGTCCTTCTTTCACGCTCCGGGCTTAAGTCAGACGCAGCCATTGAGTTGGTTTCAAGCCTGGAGAAGAAAGGAGTTAATGTATACGCGCCCGCTTGTGACATCTCCAATGATGACGAGATCAGAAGAGTGATCGAACATGTCCAAGATACATGGCCACCAATCAAAGGGTGCATTCATGGAGCATTGGTAGTCAAAGTAAGTGCCTAGCGGTCACCAGAAATCTAGCTCTATCAAACTAACGAACACAATAGAACCGCATCTTTCATGACTACTCACTTGAGGAATTTCAGGAGATCATGATACCTAAAGTGCAAGGAACCTGGAATCTCGACAAGTATCTCCCAGACAGCATGAACTTTTTCGTCATTCTGTGTTCTATTGCCGGCGTGTGCGGCGCTGTTTCGCAGAGTAGTTATGCTGGCGCGAGTACATTTCAGGATGCATTTGCACGGTATCGTCATGCCCGAGGTCGACATTGCGTCTCGCTGGACCTAGGGATCGTGCAGGACGTTGGATACGTTGCCGAACGTGTTGACGTCGCGAGATTCTTAGCCATGTCCATGGCCGACCATAAAGTACTTACCGAGGAGGACCTACAATTCATGGTCAAGTACGCATGTAGCCCCCATAGGCAGGTGTCCTCGCCATGGGAAACGCAGATTATTGGCGCATTGACAACTCCCTCCTTTGTCCGACGCTATGGCAACGTCGAGGACCATATATGGATGCGCATGCCCATGTTCTGTCACTTGTACCAGATGGAGCAAGAAAACGACAAGCCTACAGCGACGCGCTTGCAAGCCGACTCGGTTGAATCGCAGCTCGCTAAGATAGAGACTCTGAACGAGGCTGCAGCAGTCATAACAAGATCTTTGGCGAACCGTTTGGCCCGGGCACTGGCTGTACCTGTTGAGGATATTGATACAAACATGCCACCCTTTACCTTCGGTGTAGATTCACTTGTTGCTGTCGAACTCATGTTCTGGTTCTCCAACGAGATAAGAGCCGATATTCCAGTTGTGCAGATTCTGGGGAACTCAAGTGTGGCGAAATTGGGGGTATACGCAGCCGGCATGAGTGAATATGTCCCCACGAGCATACGTGAAGGGGCTGGAAGCGGTAAAAAGCTAGAAGTCAATGGTATGTAGACAAGTAGCAACTGAGATGTTAGCGCTATTGCGTTCCCGAGTGGGTAGGTAGTAATCTGTAAAGCAAAATAGAATATGTTGGGAATTTGACGCAGTAATCTTCCTCTCTTAAGAAGCCATCCTTGCTTCATTACCACTTAACTAGAGCAGCGGTTGCACAATGAATATCTACTCATAGAAGTTATACATTTCTGCAAGACGTAAGACATTAAAGATTTGTTCTACAAAGGGCACTCTGATCTTGACTTATACTATATACCACCTGACTTTATCTGCCACGTCTGCCTCTTGGTTTGGAGTTTGGAGCCATCTGAGCATTCACTTAAACATTTCCTACTTGGGAAGGTGGTCTGCCACCAATGCCAACTGCTATGCTTGTGCAAGTCCCCAATCCAACTTATCTACGTGACCAGGTACTCCCATTCGATTAAGCAAACTAAAGCTGCGAAATGAATTCCTTCCTATTGGTATCTCCTCATATGCTATAGTCTTTGTGGACGATAAGCTTGCCGGTAATGCTTTGGCATGCCGGTGGCCTGTTGGTGGCCAGGCCATGTACTGAATTACGCTGTTAGTCGTTCATCGCAATTTTCGTCAACGGGGCCTTGCTCGTGGCCGACTTGATCAAATCAGCAGTGACGGAAGTGATGTTTACGGCATCATGAGCTCTCATCGAGCTGCTTGTCTGGCTGCTGCAAGAGCACTTGCACGTGAGTTTAGCACGTTTGATATTCTTAAAGGCATCATTTTTGATGCCGAAGATGCTACCGGTCGCGTTTGCTGCGGGGACTCTGCGTTCTTCGTTGATCACGGTGAGCCGCTTGAGGTTTTGGCGCAGGTGCGAGATACCAAAAAGTGGCCGCTGGCTGAACTGTTTGATGGCGACGAATTGCTTTTCGGAGCTACACTTCCTTACCACTCGTGGCCTGACCGAACGCGCTAGAAGACCAAATCTGAAGCCAATAATATCTGAGATAACTACACTCTGTTACAAAAATATTATCTAGAATTGCGAGGGCACCTATACCATTTCAAAGTACAGGGTAAATTGAGCTAACTAAATTGCTAAGAAATGTGGTTCATGACAGTGTTCGCATTAGATGTAGTCTACTCATGTCGAAGCTGTCTATCGTCAAAAGTAGTGGCGCTGAGGTTGCTTTGCATGGAATGGCAGCTGAACGAATGAAGCCAAGTGATGATCAGTTGAAGCGACCTGGACCTACACAGTATCATTGTCATTTTCAGCTCTCCCGGTAAAATACAACTGAGCCGACGAGCATCATTATGCTTCGCTCTCTCAGTAGAAGTCCACTCACAGCTAGTCATCGCTCTCATCGCTCCCATTGTTCTCATAGCTATCATCGCTCTCATTGCTCTCATCGTCCTCATCGCTATCGTGGTGCTCATCGTGCTGATAGTGGTCGTCGTGGCCGTCGTGGCCGCCGTGCTCATCGTGCTCATCGCTATCGTCGTGCTCATCGTGCTCATCGTGCTCATCGTGCTCATCGCTATCGTCGTGCTCATCGTGCTCATCGTGCTCATCGTGCTCATCGTGCTCATCGT